CCCCAAAACCCCAAAACCCCAAAACCCCTGAAAGTAAGTAAAAGATTGAATCTAAATATCTACCTTATTTTTTATCCCTATGCTTCTCGTAGAAGGCTTCCAATACCTTCATTTCATTTTCATGGACAAAGGTGACTCTGTATAGTGGCTTCATGAACTTGTTCATCACGAACAACATTTGGTCAATGAAACTGTGGATCAGAGCGAGAACTGTGCAGAATTCCTGTCCAAGATCTCTCTAACTGCTTGTTACATAATGCTCAGGAGCGATCGTGTCTGGTCCCGTTCGATGGTTATTCAAATTGGTAGTCATTACTGCAGGGTTCAGGTCTTGGATGTCGATCTTGTCACCATAATTGTCTTGCAAATAGTATGAAAGCAACGTCAAAAACTGTTTAGTAGCAGAATATTCTTTGATATATGGAGCAGGCACAACTGTAATCAGTGAAGATACATTAATAATAGCAGCTCTGGGAGTCCTCTTCAAGAAGCCGTTGATGAACATTCTGGTTAGCATTGCTGACCCAACCATGTTAATGTTTGAGCAGGAAATGGCTCCTTCAAGCTTACAATTTTCAAAAAATTCGGGATTACTGCACCAGCATTATTGACCAATATCGAAATGTCTAACTTTTGAATCTTTCTATACAAATGTTCATAAAATCCAGCAGAGTTATCTTCAGCAAAATCAGCAACCCCTATCTGTGTTTGAAGCTAAGAATTGTCTTTCTTCAATTTTGCATCAAGTTTGTATTTGTTTCTGCCAAATAAAACAAGGTTAAATCCCTGCCTAGCCAACTGCTTACAATACTCTTCTCCAATGCTACCAGTTGTGCCTGTAACAACAGCCCAAGGTCCTTTCCCATATCTCTTCGCTAGATCCAAAGGCTGTCTTAAATAGTTCCTAATAAGGCACTTGGCCACCATTCAAACTGAATGCACAAAGGTATATATCCCAATTATCCAGGCTGGCAAAGAGTTGATGCTCCAAATAAGTTCAAGCATCTTTAATCAGATACTTATAATTCAATACTAAACCAGAGCCATGGGGTTTTGGGGTTTTGGGGTTTTGGGGTTTTGGGG